AAAAAGAAAGAGAGAGAGAGAGAGAGAGAGAGAGAGAGAGAGAGAGAGAGAGAGAGAGAGAGAAAGAAACAGGCATTTAGGTATTTGGATTCCCAACTTCTGCCTTCCTACCTACCCATTCACTTTTGTTTTCAGCCAGGGAAGGCGGGCCTGATCAGGGATGTGGCTAGCTCAGAAATGTGGACCATCTTGTGGCGCCGCTTCTCCATGGCCTTGAAGCCACCTGACAAGGTGTCTGCACAGGAAGAGGACCTGTCACTGGCCAGTCCACCCAGCCCAAAACCAGACTGGACACTGATCTCACCCCAAGGTATCTTTCTACTAGCATAGCCTCATTTTGGGGGCTAGTACATTGACTCAAAAGGAGGCAGCCTCAAATTGGGTTAACCTACTGAGACACATCTGTTGGTACTGCCTGAAGAAGATGGCAGAATCTACAAAGGAGCTGTTCAAGGATGGGAAATGGGTAGGTGAATAGGTGGTAGCAGTGGGAGCCACAGAGAAGCAGGGGCATCTGGACTTCTTGCCTGTTTTACTTGGTCTTTCTTGGTGATTTTAGGCATGGCAACCCTGCTGAGCCTGGCCATGGCCACCTTCACCCAAGAGCCCCAGTTATGCCTGAGCCACCTGTCCCAGCATGGAAGTATCCTCATGTCCACCTTGAAGTACCTGCTTTCCTCCAGGTTCCTGTATCACCTGAGCCAGGCGTGAGTGTGAGCTGAAGGAAGAAGAGTCTGTGTCAGTGGGGACAGGATGGCAGGAAAGAAGTAGCTGAGAGCTTGAGTTATGAACCCAGGGAATAAGATAAAGATTAGCCTGGAGGCTTGATGAGTTGTAGAGAGTGGGGAGGAAAGAATTCTAGGGAAGGAAATCTTAAAGGAAGGGAACCCTCAGAAAGGGTAGGTGAACAAGACTGAGTCTGTACTTCTCCATCCCCTTTCTTAGGCCTCATGGATCTGAGTTTCTCCCGGTCGTGGCACTCTCTGTCTGTCAGCTTTTCTGCTTCCCCTTCTCCCTGGATGTGGATGCCGACCGCCTTGTAGGAATCTTGGCTGACCTCAGAGATGCGGAAGTTGCAGCCCTCCTGCTGCAGGTACATGAGCATGGAGGTGGGAGGGGCAGATGGCCAAGCCTCTTGTCCTCTAATTTAGCCCTCAAAGTTCCAGGGCTCTCTTAGGTCCCTGTAAGAGTGGAACATCTGGCTTGCTGTAAGAGTTGGAGAGGAGAAAGCACACAGGCCTGAATAAAACATGTATTTGGAGCTGGGCTATTTTCTTTCTCTCTATCAGTCTCCTACCTGGTTCTGTTGGAGTTCAGTGGGGAGAACATCCAAGTCCCAACAATAGAAGCTCAGCTCAGCCACTTCCTTAGTACTTGGTATTAAGCCAGGAGTCTTTGGAGGGAGAGATGAGCCCTTGCAAGGAGTGAACTTGGGAGGCTGCTGTCCTGGGTGTCACATGTTTTATGTATTGTGCTTTGAGATAGGACTTCCAGCTCTCCTGAGCTTGGCTTTTGTCTCTCCATATTTTGGGCTTCTCCTTTGTAGAAGTGGTGAACTGTCCCTTTTTCCTAAATCCTTTTTACCTGCATCCCCTACTCCATTCCCCCAGGTCTGCTGCCATCATCTTCCGCTGTCACAAGTTGAGCTGCCCATAAGCCTCCTCACACGCCTGGCCCTTATGGATCCCATCTCTCTCAACCAGTTTGTGAGCACAGTGGCTGCCTCCCCTAAAACCATCATATCATTCCTCTCAGTTGCCCTCCTGAGTGACCAACCACTGCTGACCTCTGACCTCCTTGCCCTGCTGGCCCACACAGCCCGAGTCCTGTCTCCCAGCCACTTGTTCTTCATCCAAGAACTCTTGGCTGGCTCTGATGAATCCTATAGACCTCTGCGCATCCTCCTAGGCCACTCAGAGAACTCTGTGCGGGCCCGTACTTATGGGCTCCTGGGACACTTGCTCCAACACAGCATGGCCCTTCGTGGGGCACTGCAGAGCCAGACTGGATTGCTGAAACTTCTGCTTCTAGGCCTTGGAGACAAGGACCCTGCTGTACGGCACAGTGCTAGCTTTGCTGTGGGCAATGCAGCCTACCAAGCAGGTCCCCTGGGTCCTGCCCTGGCAGCGGCAGTGCCCAATATGACCCAGCTCCTTGGAGATGCTCAGGCTGGTATTCGGCGAAATGCTGCATCAGCTCTGGGCAACTTGGGGCTTGAGGGGTTGGAGGAGGAGCTGCTCCAGTGCCAAGTACCCCAGAGGCTCCTTGAGATGGCATGTGGAGACCCTCAGCCAAATGTCAAGGAAGCTGCCCTCATTGCCCTCCGGAGCCTCCAGAAGGAGCCCTGCATCCATCAGGTGCGGCACAAAGGACATGTGAACTCTGATCAGCGTCCTATACTTTACCACATTTCTCTGAGATAGTTTGTAAGGAGGTGGGACATCTAGAAATCCAAGTATTCTTTCTCTCTGGGTGTAGGGCACTCAGGCACAAGGAGTTTTCCATTTATCATCTTTACCCTAGAGAAGGGAAAGGAGCTGGAAAAGGGCTGCTTGAGCTAGGACATGCCTGAGATCTCAGAGAACACAGCTTCTGTTTTCCAGAGACTGGGCAGGAGGGAGAGGAGGAAGACAAGGTGTTGAGACCAAGAAGGTGCCAACTCTCTTTTTGGTATCACACTAAGCACTCTAACTTTATTATTCAATTTAAGCTGTCATTACCCTCATTTTGCATGTGAGGGATCCAAGGCACAAAAAATTTAGTGACTTGCTCAAGTTACAAATGCAGCAAATCTCAGGAATCTGGGTCCAGAGACCAAACTCTTATCCTCTGTTTTATTCTGCCTTTTCTGTTCAGTTTTCAGTGCATGGAGAGCCCAGTGGAAATCACACATCTGCCTGTGATAACGCATCACAATGGTTCAGTGTGGTAACATTGGGTAGTTTCTGCAGAAATTTGGCAGGATGGTAGTGATATGGCAGGAGTTTCTAGCAATCCACATGGAAAAATAATGCATTGGATTTTGGTTTTTGGCTGGCTCATCCTGCCCTAAGGGCAGGACTGGTACAGCATGTAGTGCTGGGTGTCAAACTGCGGTCTCCTGTGTCTGCCTGAGCTTGCCTAAGCAGGCACTTTAGACTGCTGAGCTATCTCACTGGCCCTACAAAGGATTCTTGCATGAAGATGAAAGGTCAGGTTGGGACCCACTAGGCCCACGGCTAGAAATTCAAACTTTTTGGCTCACTGTTAGTCATTGCAGCATTCATTACATCTTCCTAGGGACAAGTGGATGGGTCCCTTGATGCCTCAGTTTTATGGTCTGCAACCAAAGATACTGGAAGTAAACTTCTGGTCCTCATGATTCCTGCCTCCAAGGTGGCTCTTCTCCCAGTCAGTCTACTTTATTTTTCTGAGACAGGATCTTTCTATGTAGCCCAGGCTAGCCTTGAATTTGTGGTGATCCTCCTGCCTCATTTAGGATCCCTGTCCTAAACGTTGGGATTACAGGCACGCCATACCCAGATTCCTCAGTCCCTTCTGAGTCCTCCAACCCATCTCTTTTTCTTTCTTTTCTAAACTGGCATTGGTGATCTAAAGAGTACCTTTACACCACTATTTCTGAGCCTCATGATCTGTTTGTCATCTTTTCTGTTCCAAAGGTGCTGGTGTCTCTGGGTGCCAGTGAGAAATTGGCCTTGCTTGCTGTGGGGAATCAGTTACTGACACAGAGCAGTTCCAAGCCTGCCTCTGCCAGACACTGCAGGAAGCTCATCCGTCTGCTAAAACCAGCTCACAGCACATGATCCCAGGTTCCTGGGGTCCAGCTTCCAGCCTTCATTGCCTGCTATTGCCAAGTCTTTATTATGTGCCTCCTCAAGCCACCAGCTCACCTGAGGGTGAGAGAGACTGAAAAATAGTGACAAGCTGGGAATGAGAAACTAGAAGAGATTATATATAAAGCTCCTTCCTTTTCCAAGATTCAGGATCATTACAATCAGTAAATTTTATTACTGTTGGTGCCAGAGAAGATTCCTTTCTTCTCTATGTACAGGGGTCTTTTTTCTAGTAATGTGCCTTTAACCCCAAGAACATGCCCCAGGACCTGAGGGAAACATTGCCACCTCACAGATCTCTCCCTTTTTGGAGCTGCTACAATCCTCTGGCAATTTTTGCTTTAGGTGCATTGGCTTCTCTCTCAGCTGAAGGCTCTGAGGATAAATGTCATCAGCCCCTATTGTTGAGGGGATCCCTTAGCCCACATTTCTTTCAGGGGCAGGGATATATCTTTTTTTTTTTTGTAATTCTGTTTGTAAACTTTTTAAAAATAATAATAATAAAATTGTTCCTCTTCCTACTTGGAACTCCCAGGGTAAGGGGTTGGGAGGCTCAGCTCCACTTTTACCTTCTCTAGGGGCCTGGAAGGCCTGGGGGTCCTGTTCACGCAGGATCCTGTTTTGGGGCCTCACTTGTATCTTGCTTCCAACTTCTTCCATCCTCCTCCTTCTAGCCAAATGTGGTCACCTACATTGAAGCCAAAGCAAGTGGGACTGAACTAGAAAAGTGTAGGGTTGGACAGAAGTTAATTGGGTTTCTTTGAGGTCTAGACTTTTTTTTTTTTTTTTTTTTTTTTTTTTTTTGTTCCTCGAATGCCTTCAGGGCACTTTTGGCCAGCGGGAGAGTTGTGAGGTTCCAACTCCAGCAACCTGAGGCTGACAGCCTTGTGGAAGCAGCCACTTAAAGGACTGAGCTAGGCCAGGCCCGTTAGACTATTTTTAATAATTAGTGGAGTTGTAGTGTACTGTATAAGGAATCTTGGATGCTTTAGAAGGGCAGCTATTTATGGAGATTGTGTAGCTTATCAGAAAGGGGTATTCAGCAGACATGTTAGAATTGTAATCTAACTAGGCACACACTACTACTTTGATTTACTGGGTGGCTTAGGACCAATTGCAGGGCCCTGATTTCTCCATCTATACTTTCCTTAAACTCTTGATTTTTTTTCTTTTTTAAAATAAGGCTGGGCATGATGGTGCATGCCTCTAATCCCAGCACTTGGGAGCCTGAGAAAGGAGGAGCCCTGTAAATTCAAAGCCAGCCTGAATTACATACCAAGATGCTACCTCAGAAAAAAAAAGAAAAAGGGAAAGAAGATAAATAAGATGCCATTAGTTTTATAAGCAATTTCATGTAGCCCTTTGTCTTTTCTTGTTGCTAAGACAAAATACTGGACACCCACAGTTAAAGGAGGGTTTATTTCAGTTCACAGTTTGTAGAAGTTTCAGTACATAGTTGGCTGGCTTTCAGGCAGGACAACATAACATAGGGACAGCATGCGGAGAAACAGTCCATGGCATGGCTGGTAGAAGCCAGCAAGCTGCAACCAGCAGCCTGCCTTTCCTTTTATCCAGGCTACCAGTATTGGGAGGTGCCACCCCTAACTGTGCTAATTCCATTCAGTGGACTAAGTTATTTTATTTTTTAAATTTAAGGTGTTTTTTTTTTTTTTTTTTTAATGTATTTGGTACTGGGTCTCCCTATAGAGATCAGATTCGTAGTGATCCTCCTGTTTTCAGCCTCCCCAGTGCTGGGATTACAGGTGTGCGCCATGACACCCAGTCTTGGTGGCCAGCTCAGCACTCCTGGGGGCGGGGCTGGCAAGGTCTGTGGTGCCAGGGATCAAACCCCAGCCTCTGTGCTTACCTAAGCAGGTGCTGACTGTGCTGAGCAATCTCACCAGCCTTCAGTTGACTGAGTATGATATACCCTTAATCTCATCATTACCTCATTACCATAGGACCAGCCAGCTTCAAAAAGCCCCACCTATTGGCTCATGAGCCGGGGGAGGGGGATACATATCTAGATACAAACCATAATACCCTTGTTTTCATTACCTACTGTGTTTACACTTTAACAAAAATGACATTTTGCTAAGGACTGCTTTCATTTTCTATGTGCCAGATTCTGTTTGAGCTGCTGGAGATAAATACTACCAGTATATCCTTGAGTTTACGTTTTGGCTGGGGAGATAGAGAATTTACTAAAATAAATGAATTAAAGGTGGACATGGTGATGCATGCTGATAGTCTCAGTACTCTAGAAGCAGAAGGATCGCTGCAGCACAGAGTTTGAGATCAGCCTGGGCAACATTGTGAGACTCTGTCTTAAAAAGTCAGATGTGCCATATAGATGGTAATAAAAGCTCTGGAGGAAGATAAAAGCAGGGAAAAGGACTTGAGTGCTGGGTTGGGTGGTCAGGGTGGATCTCAGTAGAAGGTGAATCAGAGCAAACATTTGAAGGTAAAAAGCGAGCAATGCAGCTTTCTGACAGAAATACCTATGCAGAGAGGATCCCATCAAAGGCCAGGGCTGGTCTGCCATACCTGGGGAGTAATGAGAGAGCCAGTTTGGATGGAGCATAGGGGGATAAGAGTAGGAAATGAAGACAGGAGGTAATGGTGGGACCAGACTTAACAGCCTTTGTAGACCTTGGTGAAGACATGGTTTTCCTCAAAATGTAGTGGGATTCACAGGGGATTTTGCAGAGGAGTGGTAGGATGTGTCTTACATTCCAAAAGGTTTAGTCTTTGGTGTTTCAAATTGATCATTGGGAAAGTGGGAAGCTAGACAAGCAGGGAGGAGGGGACTGTAAAAATCTAGGTAAGAATGGTGTCTTGGACTGGGATGGCATCAACAGAGTGGTAAAAAGTAGTAGCTGGATTTGGATCTTTTTTCAGTACTAGGGATTGAACCCCATAGCCTGTGCACTGAGCTTCTACCTCATCACTTAAAAAATGATTTAAAGACAGTGTCTTGCTAAGTTTCTAAACTGCCCATGCTGGGCTTGAATTTGGGATCCTTCTGCCTCAACTCCTCAGAATGCTGGGGTTATAGGCATGTGCTACCATGCCTGACTATTGAATATAGTTTAAACAGAGAAAATTGGATTTCTTGGCTTGTTGAATGAGAGTATGTGACCAAAGGAAAGCAGATAAGGATGACCAAGGTTTTTGGCCATCTGGAATGATGAAATTGCCTTTAACTGAAATAAAGAATGCCACCAGCAGAGTGGTAATGGATAGGAAGAATCGAGTTCAATTATGAACATATAAGATCTTTTAGCTAGAAATCTTCAAACAAAATTAGACTTCATAACCATTTGAACAGATACTATTTTATTTTTTCTTAACTCTGGAATTTTTAGAAAATCCTTGGCAACATAACATTACCCTTAAATACTTGGATCTTTGGCAGATCAGGACTTTTTTTAGGACAAAAACACAGGACTGTACTATACTCGATAGTCAAGATTAATAGTAATCACTTAGTATTAGACATTTCATTGGACTCCAGTATTCTCTGACTTACCATCTCTTCAAATGACAATCTAAACAAGGCTCACTCATTGAGTTTGGCTGGCTTGTTCATAAGACTTACTATAAATAAAACCATTCTTGATGCATATGTCTTTCAGCATATTTTGGTACCATTTTATTTTTATTTTTATTTATTTATTTATTTTTTGGTGCCAGGACCAAACTCAGGACCTTGGCCTTGCCAGCCAGGCACTTATACCACTGAGCTATCTCCCCCACCCTGGTACCATTTTATTGAAACAATGATTTGACCAGTAGAATTTCTCACATTGGACTTGACTGATGGTATATTGGGGTATTACATTTAGTTGTAATATCCTTCATATTTTCTTTAAATATGGAAATATATTGATTGTTGAATCTTAAATATTGATCGCTGAGTCTAGATAGATGATTAGAAGCACTTTTTCTTTTAAATATTCCTCGTTTAGATCTATTGTCTTATTTTCTGATCAAAACACAGGTACTTAACCACACTTTTTTTTACTTTACTAAGATCTCTGGATTTAAGCAAACAGTAGTTTGAAATCTGTAATTCTTCCTCTAACAGGCAAACTAGTGGAGATCATTTTATACAATAATTATATTTTTTTCAAATAACTCATTACATACTAGCTGGAAGTGGCATGGTTATCTGGTATATAAAACAATTCGATGTAGAGCAGTTAAAGACCAGATTTTTTAGGCTATTGCATAGCAATATGGCCATTGCAATAATTGACCATTTTATAAGTATAATAAGAAAACACATTCAACATGTCTGAGAACATACAATCCAAAGGATTAGGACTATATCATTAGGACTATATACATTTAGCACTTATTAAAAAATGTGCTGGCAAAGTGCCAAGAGGGTTTGGAGTAAGTGAGCTGAGTAGTGCCTGTTACATAGAGAATGTCTGGAGAGTTTGAGGATTTGCACTTGTGTTTAGTTTTGTGCACATGTATATGTATGTCCTTTAACTTTTTAAGGTAAGAGAAAGCTTAAAATGTCCACATATATAAAACTATAGAGAGTGGCACAATACACTCCTAAATCCTGATCTCACGTGTCATCAACATTTCCACATTGGCTTGCTTTGTATTTTCCTTTTTAAAAATTTGTCATTGCTGAGCCAGGTGTGGTGGCACATGCCTGTGATGCCTGCAGTCTGGGAAATGAACCAGGATAATTACAAGTTCAAGCCCCGCCTGGGCAATATAGTGACTTAGTGAGATCCTGTCTCAAAAAAGTTTAAAAAGGTCTGAGCATGTAGCTCTGTGTGCAGGCCCTGAGTTTAATCCCTAGGACACACACACACACACACACACACACACACACACACTACCATTGCTATGATTTTAAAAATGTTACTTAAAAACCATTTAAAATTTAAAGTTGTAAGAATAGTGCAAAGAACTCCCAAAAGCCCTTTGCCCAAGTTCACTAATTGTTAACATTTTGCCACATATGATCTGTTGTCTTGATTGTCAAATTGATTAGCTTGAGAGATTAATAAAACACACTTTTGGGTATGTCTGGGTAGTCATGGGGGTTTGAGTTTGGGAACTGGATCTGGTCCCTGTTCCCTTCCTCTGTGGTGTTCTTGCCCTGTGATTTTGCTTCCTGATTGCCGTGAAATGAACAGCTTTGAGCCGCCATGCCCTTCTGCCATGTCACTGCCTTGGAGCCATCTGACAGTGGAATGGAACTTCCAAAATTGTAAGCCAAAGTAAACTTCTTCAAGTTGCAGGTGTTGAGTATTTCGTTCTGGCAAAGGAAAGCTGACTTATCTACTGAATTTAGTTTTACCATATTTTTCCATCTACATATTTTGAGAGTTAGTTTTAAATATTGTAAACTTTTCTCTTTAACTACATAATTGTAAGCTTCTAAGATAGTACCTTATGTAAACAGCATAATTAATATTATTGGGAAATGTGACATTAACATATTGCACCCATATTCAAATATTGCCAATTGTTTTAAATATTTTTTTAAGCATCGAGGATTAATCCCAGGGCCTTTTGCATATTAGGCAATCCTTCTATCACTGAACCACACCCCAACCCTTAAATAACCGTTCATTATACAAATTTTTCTTCTCTAGGAATGATCCCAAGAACATACATTGCCTTTGGTTGTCATGTCTCTTTTTATATTACTATAGTTTGTACTCTAAACCCTTCTTTAGCTTTTTTTTTTCTTTTATGACTGTCTTGGCTCACATCTAGATATGTTCCCCCCCTGAGTGCTCTTCGAGGGGCTTTTAGAAGCCTGGATCACACACGGGTGATACTGGGATTAAGGGTGTGTGGTACTTCATCAGTTCATTGATTGATTTAGCATGGTTCTGGGTACACATAATGGGAAGGCCCATCCTAGGTGTGGACAGCAAGAACCCTTGTATCCTTGATGGGATAAAAGGGGAAGGGAACTTTGCTGTTGCTGCTTCCTGCCCGCCCTGGCATAGGACTGTTTCTCCTTTGCTATGCCTCTCTGCCATACCACCCTGCCCTGGAGCGAGGCAACTCTGAACTGAAACCTCTACAAACTATGAGCACAAATAAACCTTTCTTTGTTTAACTTGTGGGTATTATTGTTTTGTCCAGCAATAAATTAACACAGTGACATTGGTTGGCAGTTTTGGAAAGAATAGGCCAAACTGGGTCTATCTGATGTGTCTTTGAGTTTGGTTCAGGTTACTGATTTTTTTCCTCCAGAAACACTAAGTGGTGATGTGTGTTATGGTTTAGATCTGAAATAGTCTGTTGGCCAGTCAGATAGCTCATTGGACTAAAGTGTTTGCGTAGGCAGAGCGCAGTGGCAGGGGTTTGATCTCTGGTGTGCCATGCCGGCCCTGCTCCCAGGGCGCACTGAGACAAGATTGAGACTGTAGACCCTGTACTAAATACATAAAAAAATAAAATAGTCCTCAAAGCCTCATGTTTGGAAGGTGATTAGATTATGGGATATTATAACTTGCTTGCTATTACAAGGTGGAGTCTAACGGGAGGAGATGGTCCTTAGGGTTGGCCTGGAAAGGTTTATCTTCTCCAACTCTTTCCTACCTTCTCTGCTTCCTGGCTGCCATGAGGCGAGCAGCTATTTCTCCACCAGGCCTCTTGCTTTGGAACCAGCAGACTATGGACTGAAACTTAAACCAAAATAAAACTGACTTTTTATTTTTATTTTTTGGCTGGCTCAGGATGCCTTCAGGGCTGGTCTGGTAAGGTTTGAGGATCTGGGGATCAAACCATAGCATTCTGATTGCTTTAAGCAGTCACTTAAACAAGTGAGCTAATGGGCAGGCCCTCAAAATAACATCTTTTTGTTTTTGGCGGGAACTGGACCCTTGTGCTTGCCAGGCAAGCACTTATTCTACTGAGCCATCACCCCCGGCCCAAAAACTGACCTTTTAGTTGTAGCCATTTTGATGAAATTACTTCCAATCATTTGGTTAAGATGGGTTTAGCAGATTTATGTTGCTAGAGTTCACACTTGAAGCCTATTAAGCAGCTGGTTGTTTTGTTCTGCTGTGAGAGGGGTTTAGGGTTTGAGGGAATCAGAGTGGATTAGATGATTTCTCTTTTACTGGGATCAAACTTAAAGGCTTTCAATGGACACTCTTGATTTTAAAGACGTGAAGTGAGGCATGGCCTAAGAAAGAGTCCCACAGAGTTTATGTGGATTCAGGGTAGAAAAGAATTTTAAATTTCCAGATCTGGATTCAATCTTGGGACTACATCTCCCAGAATTCCGCTCACCAGTCTCCGTCAAACTGAAGGGACTGCGCGTGTGCGACACTGCTGCCTGCCCTGCCCGCCTCGACCCGGTAAACCCGAGATTCCGCGCGCTGGACTCCTGCCCGCCCCTTCAGGCCCTCAGTCTGTCCGCTGGGGGCGCGCGCTGTGCGTGGCTGGCGGTAGCGGCGGCTGCGAGAGCGGGTCGCGTGGCAGTGCGTAGTTGCTAGGAGCATCTAAGGTCTCCTGCTTGCCCAGGAGGCCGAGCGAGGAAGCAGCGCGGAGCCAGGTGCCCTAGGTGAGTGTGATGCGGCGCCGGGGCCGACCGCGGACAGTCCGCTGGCCGGGCGCTCCCGCCCTCCCTGTGCCCGGCACCTTCGCGCGGGTCCCCAGCCCTCTGGCTGTTCCTGCCCCCGCCCGCTTCCGGCTCGGCACCTTCAGCCAGCCGGAGGCCCGGGGCCGCGGCCTCCTACCTGGCCTCCTCCGAGCCCTGGGTCGCCGCTGTTACGCCCAGTGAGGGAACTTAGTTGGCCTCGCTGGTGGTGAGTGCCGGAGGCTGGCAGCGGCCCCTTGGTCGTGGCCCGGTTACCTCTTTCCCGCCGTACCGCGCTTTAAATTCCTCTCGTCTGGTTGAGAACCCAAACTATTCGGCTTCAGGGCCGAATTTAGCTTGTGTACTTTTTAGTGCTTCCTCACTCAGAGAATGTATAGAGAAACACTTTGCTAAACTCCAGAGTCTAGCTGGATCTGAGAGCCTGTGGAATTTAACCTCTTTATCCATTCCTCCACTTAATCTTTTTTTTTTTTTTCACTTAATCACTTCTAAACAATTTTTAATAAACATTGACAGTATTTAATGAATCATCCTACTGGGGCAGGTACCGGGGGTCTGGGAAATAGAGATAAACGAGACAGGTATATTTTCCCGGAGCTAATAGTGTAGGAGAGATTTAATCCAGTGAGTGTTTGTCAATAGTTGTGCTGTGAAAGAAGCGAGGAGAGGTGAGTAAACTAGACTTGCATGGAAAAATACCTTTCTCTCTGGTTTTCACATTCACTTTCTGGGCTAGGAAATGTTTTAATCTCTCTCTCTCTCTCTCTCTCTCTCTCTCT